GCCTTTCATTAGTATTATATACTGCAGCAAGAAAAATACGAACCAGCTGGGTGTAATAGCTCAGACTCTTTAACCGGGCGCAGGGCTTCTACCATAACACTCTCCACTTGCTAGTGGAGTGATCCGACTGCTTCTAATCCGCATAGTTAAGCTGCTGGGTGTCTTACGGTGTTCCGAATGATGTGTTCGAGCGATACGGTGAGCCATCAAAATCTAATCCAGAATAGGGCATCACAGCATCAACCATGGCTAACATCGGTCAGCGGTATTCGGCTTTAGCAGTGACCAAGCAATGACCAATTTTTTTCAACGCACCTTCTTTTTTACTTTTCATCTTTTATTTTTTTATGGGTTGTATTCATTGGTTATAATGAAGCATTATCTATTACATCGTCAGTTCCGCGCATTCTTTATAGTATCAGTGCGTATTTTCGCCATTTCGTTTTACGCCATCATTGGTTTTGATTTGTAATGAGCGTTAAATTACCCAGAATTTTCGGACACCGTAAGTTATCGTGTCGCGCTAATGCATCGTATTCAGCAGCGCCATATAGTTGTTGTATGCAGCCCTGCCAAGCTGATAACACCGTTCTCTGGTATCTACAAAAATTCTTTTGTAGCGATGAATGCGTTTTCGGGAATTGTTTTGATGATATTATGTGAATTCATAAATGCAGAAAGCACGACTGAAGACCCCTTGAATGTTAAGTTCGTTCAAAGTAAGACTTTCATAACATTTTCAACAAATAATGATTTTTATATAGCCTTTATTTTTTTTTCCGAATGCTGAATCATTTTTGTGCGTTTTTCCAGGAAGCACGAAAAAAAAAGCTTGATGAACTTTTCATTGCATATATTTATGCATTTTTTTGTGCATGCCCGTTTGTATGTCAAGATCATGGAAGTGACAATTTTGGGAACACCGTCTTCCATCACACAAGCAAGGCCAAAAATATAAAATCGCTCTTTAGGTGCTTGCGTGTTCTGAGTTATCAGACGGGTACAAGTTCAAGCTAGTGTTTTGAATTGAAAGCCGACAAAGTTATAATCTTTTAAAGGTGTATTTAGTCGTTAAAATTTGTGTGCTGGCCTAGATCTCAGAAATTTCGAAGTAAATGTAATACAGTGGCGGTTTTCGAGTTCTCGCCGCGTAGTCCTAAGTCACTGACTTAGTCGACATCCCGCTGTTTTTAGAGCTACAATTTCACCGTAGCTCCAGAAAAGGACAAGCTACGATTTGGATTTTGGTGTTTTACAATTGATAGTTGAATTCAACAGAAACCGTTGAACAGCACACGAAAAACAAAGCGTGAGAACGTGGGAACGAAACGGGGTATTTCTTGATTGAAATGAGATGACTGATTATGAAAACCCTAAAGACGTTCTGTTTCAGAAGAACATATGGACTGTGATATGGAAGACTGTAGTAATCGTGGAACCTGCAGCGGAAACAAGAAATATTTCGCTTGTCTCTGTTTCAAGCCCTACTATGGTCGTCGATGCGAG